CGTGGTGCCAAGGACACTGAGGGTGAAGGGGTAACTGCCTGACTGGTGTGACCATAAATCAGGCCTGGTGAGCGTGACTCACAGCCGTGGCAGGCGTGGCCTGCAGGGAGTGTCTCTTGAGCGCGTGCGCGCACAGCCATACCTGCCACAGCTCCAGGCACATGGGCATGCCCGGCTTGGCATCCGCCTCCGGCTTCAGGGTACACACTGACGTCTTGGATGGCATCTCCAGAATCTCAACCTGACAGGAAGAAAACAAGTTGATTTGGGTCAACGCCAAGTCGAGTCTGCGCTATACAAACAAGAGACTTTTAAGGTGATTAGCCAAGGCTGATGCAAGTTTCTGTCTGTTCCCTGCAGGAGCCTGGGAGCCGAGGCTTCTAATTAGGCTGCCCAGGCTCGTGGGCTGGGGCGCTGCAGGGCCCTTGCATAACACACATCACTCCCAAGCGACCGGCGTTACCGCCTGGCAGCCACCTCCAGCCTCCCCACTTTCGCCCTCTCCATGGAGCAGGAAAGCCTGGCTCACTCTGGCTCCGACTCTTAATTCTGCGATTCTCCTGACCTCTGCTTGCTTCTCCTTTCCAGTGTACGCTTCTACCCGATGAGCAACTCTGAACTATCCTGGGCACATCTGATGGTACAAAGAATCACACAATGAACACCTGTGGACCCACCACCACACATAAGGAATAAACCTGACAAGGGCCCCAGGTAGCCTCTTTTGGAACATGGCCCTCTCCACCCCTGCGTTTCTCTGCATGGCGTTTCATGGCTGCACTTTGCATAACCCTGGATAGTGTGGGACTCCTGTGGCTTGTGCTGTGAGGTGTGCTCAGTGCCCACGTGGCTCCATCGCACACACCAGAGTGTCACCCTGCCACTGCTCTCAGGGGACGGCCAAGGCCACGTGGAACCAGGTCCTCAGCATCCCTTGTCCCTAAGTGCCTCAGCTTCCTCATCCACAAAGTAGGGACATGGCAACCTTTGTGTGGGCTGGGAAGAGTAAAAAAGTGCCCGTGTGACTTGCTTTTTCAGGAGCTTGGCTAAATGCTCCTGTCCATGCTTCTGCTTCCCAGGGGATTGTAACGAAAGGTCCAGCACATCTGCATCCCCCCTATGATCCTGTGAACCGGGGGTATGTCTACATCCTCCCATAGCCTCATGAACCAGAGGCATATCTGCGTCGCCCCCATGGCCCTGTGAACCAGGGGCAAGTCAGTGCCTCCCACTACAGCTCTGTGAACTGGGAAGCATGTCCTCGTTCCTCCTACATCCACACGGCCCCATGAACCATGGGCACGTCACGCCCCCCGCCCCCGCATAGCCCCATGAACTGAGGGGTATGTCTGCATCCCCCCACGACCCTGTGAACCAGGGGCACATTCATGCCCCCACTCACATGGGACACATCTGCGTTCCCCCACAACAGCCTCGTGAACTGGGGGCACATATGCCCCCCCGTCCCCACCCCCCCGCCACCACAGCCCTGTGAACCAGGGAGGCATGGCCCCTAGTGAGGCAGGCGACAGTGACTCTCTAAGGACAACACCACACCGAAATGATGTGGAGCCACCACAGACAGTCCAGTAAGGCTGCACAACATCCCTTGTCCTGATACTAAGACATCCCCCCAGTCTGCAGACAAGGAGTCTGAGATCCAGAGAAGTTAGGGATGGTAAGTGGGCAGAACTCACACTCTGCTTGCCTGGCTCCTTCTACTCCACCCCGCCCTCTTGGGCCAGGCTGGCAAGCAGAGCGTCCTGGGGAGAGTGTCTGAGGACCAATGCCACAGCTCTGCCCAGTCTTACCCTCGGGGCCCAGAATGCCCAGCAAGGCACATGCCAACTGTGGTGTTTGCCATGCCGCCCTCACTGATCCATGTAGAAGCACGGTCTGAGGTCAAGTCAGAGTCCCAAGCTGGAGCCCCAGACCCGCCACACACCTGCAGGTGAGAGGGGAGGCTGCGTAGTCCTGGGAGCGGCCCAGACCTCTCCACTAGGCAGCACCTCCAATAGGCCCATGTCAGGGCGCTCTCTGGGCAAGCATGGAAGACTCCAGTTCCTTACTTTTCACACCTCTCTCTCACCAGATTTCTGGAGATGAGGCCTGTCACTGTTGTAGACCACCAGGAAGGTGGGCAGATATCCTGAGGCCACATGGGCCGTGGAGAACTGTGACATGGGGGCAAGAAAAGCCCCCTACCCCTTCTGCCCCAGGAGCCCTGGCATGTGCCAGGGGGCTCGGAGGAAGCAGAACACTGGACACGTGGCTGGAGCTGAAGAGCATTTGTGTGGGACTGACCATGGACAGCCAGAATGCAGGCCCACAGGCTCAGTCAGGGGAGGACTGCTAGGATCTGTGTGTTCAGAAAGTCAACTCTGGCAGCAATGAGGAGCAGGGCGCAAGGGCATAGGGACAAAGTGCAGGCCAACGAGGGCATCACATGAGGGCAAAAGCCAGGGCAGCTCTGGGACTCGGAGCTGGGTGCCATGGGAGGGAGCGTGGGAGCACCAAGAACCAAATCTGGGTGCAGGGGGCCAGGAGCCCACAGGCCACAAGGGGTCTGCCTGGGGAGCCAGACCAGAGGCAGCGGCAGGCCCAGCCAGTGTAGGGCAAACCAGGCCCCAGGCTGACAACCAGAGAAGCCCTGCATCCTAGCTGAGGACACGTGCCCTGTGGCCAGAGCCTCCCCAAGACAGGGCTGTGCTTTCCATCTGGCATGCAACTGCAACTTTTGTTTCCAGAGGAAGATGCTTGGTTTGGGCAAGAGCGGCCACCCAGCCAGCCTCGCTGGGGTGTAAGTGCATGCTCACCAGGCACTGTCTGGGCTCGGGCCAGCCACGTTTTTCCAAGCCCCAGTCCAGGCAGATTCTAGATGGATGGAAAACAACCATCTTCCCAGGATGGCTCAGGTCCCAGACTGGCTGCTTCTGAAAACCAGAGATCCTGCCTGCACTGGAGGACCAGGGGCCAGGGGCTGAAGGAGGAGGGCGGGCCCGCGTGCAGGACTGGCCAGGGGAAGCAGCCGCTGACCACAGCACATGTGTGGCAGCCTGCACACCAGGCCCGGGAAGGCCTAAGTGTCTGTCCTGGGCCACTGGCCGAGCCCCTGCCTGAATGTGGCGATGATGAAGGCATGACATGTGGAAGGTGGTGTGGAGCCCTGGACCTCAGAAAGAAGAGCTGTTTCCTTGATCTGACACGGGAACTCCCAAGCCCACGCTGGGCGTTTGAGTCTGCGAGGCAGGAGATGGCTGGCCGACGCCCACAGTTACCCGGGTGCCTGGGTGGTGCAAGCCATCCATGAGGAAGCACACCCCTTTCTTTTCCACATTAATAAAACTTTTAACAGGTTTTTGGCAAATTGGCAAGAAAAGAGCATGTAGCTCCTAATTGGGGATTTAAACACAATCGTGAACAAAGAAGCGCCTGTTTGCATCTCACTATTTATGAACTGAATCTGCTTTAAGACAAAATGACTCTTCCTGGGCAGGGGCCAATGTAACCATGTGCACAAGGAACCTTGTCAGCATCAGTTCCAAGTGGGTGCCGCCCTGCCCAGTGTCCCTGCTTGCAAGGTTTGACAATGCCAGTGGGACTGCAGGCTGGCTACCTGGAGGACGTACGACAGGCAGCAGGCGCAAGATGAGGCCGCTGCTCTCTGGCCCCCACGCTGCACGCATGCTCCTTGGGCCACCCCAACCCCCCAAGGCATGCTGTCTCTCGCTCACCTCTCTGCTTCTCCCGGGCCCCACAGCCACTGTCCCCACACGAGCCATCTAGTTGCCGCTCACGAGCTTCTTCTTGTTTCCCGTCTGCTTGCCAGAGCTGACACTCCAGCCACAGCTTCCTGCTCTATGAGAAACACCCTCCACCCATGCTTCCAGCCTCAGGCTGCACTTGCATCCTGGGCACCTTTCCTCCTTGGCTGGCTCTGCTTCTTCTGCTCCCCAGCCTGACCCTTCCACGTCACCAGTCACCTGGCATCGACTCCCACTGCTTGGCGTGGTTGTGGGCAGCACCCTGCACCCCACCCCTCACGCCCCATTCTCCAGACAGTCCACTACTTACCTCTCTTGTTCTGCAATGTGACTGCCACACTGGTGCCAGCCCTCAGCCCAGAGTCCCCACTAACTATGAGGCCTCTCACCAGGCCCTGCCCATGGTGCCGGCTCTGTTCCCTGGAACATGACTCTCTCCTGCTGCCCCTGCTTAGAGGTCCATCCTGACCTTGCCAGGGCCTCAGTCTCTCTACCCACCACCTCTTCCTGCCGAGCGTCCCCCAGATCTCCCCTCCACACATACTCATCCATGTCTCAGTCCTCTGTCTCCCCCTAAGCTGCCCTGATGGCCTCAAGCCCCGACACTGTGGGTCCACCCTGGCCCACCCTCCTCCACCGGCAGCATGTTGTGGGTGGAGCCTCCGAGAGACCCTAGCCTGCTCTGCTGTCAGGGGCAGTGGGATGAGAAGGAGGGGTATGAAGGGAAAGGACCTCTGCTGAAGCACTCCTGATTCTCATCACCACCCTGGGAGGAAGGCTTATTACCAGGGCCACTTCCCAGGTGACAAGATTTAGGCTTAGCCACGTGTGCATTGGCCAAAGGCTGTTAACTGCCATCAGGCTGACAGATCCCCATGGCATCTCCACTGGGTCCTGCAGAGTGGGACGGATGAACCACTCACCCAGGTATTAACAGGGAGTCCACCTGTTTCAGGGAAGCTGAGCACCGAAGGGCTCCTGGGACAGGAAGGGCTCTCACCTCGTCGCTGCCTCTCCCTGGCATGGCCACCATCCAGCGAGGCGGAGCCCCGGCCAGCACAGTGCTCCTGCAGAAGCCCACGCTCTCAAGACGCACGGAGTCCACAACCGCGTTCCGGCCCTCCGCCAGGTCCCAAAGGCACAGTCTCAGGTCGCGGCCCTGGCTTCCAAAGCAAGAGGAGAGGCTGTGAGGCTCCCAGTCGTGTTCCTTGCACCCTGTCAAGGCAAACGTCAGCTCGTCCTTGCCAGCCACCACCTCCTGGGGCCTGCGGCGGAAGGAAAGCTTTTTGTGTGTGTGGCACAGGACATGTTTCAGAGGGGCCACAGGTTGTGTCAGGTTCCAGTGGGCCAGAACCTCAGCATCAGCATTAACACGGTGAGTCTGTGCCCAAGCATGCCCAATGCCAGGATGCGTTCCCGGGGGTCAGAGGGAAGCATGGCAGACAGTGGTGCAGACCTGCCTCCCATGAGCCTTCTGGCCACTCTCCCTGCTGATGATGCCATGCTTCTCCTTCTTCCTTCGTGAATTAACTTTTACAACCTCGCATTCCCACTCTCAGCTACTTTCCCAAGTGAACAGAAAGACTACGTTCACATGGGAATGTTTAGAGCAGCTCTATTCGTAATCACCAAACACTAGACACAACACAGATGCCCTTCTACAGGAGAATGGGTATCAAACTGTGGTACACCTCTCCACAGTGGAATACCCCTCAACAACAAAAACGAACAGGCTAGTGATACACGCAACAACCTAGATGAATCTTAAATGTGAAAGAAGCCAGATCCCAAAAGCTACAAACTGTGCCATTTCATTCATATGACATTCTAGAAAAGGCAGAACTATAGAGAGGGACTGCCTACAAAGGGGCCGCAGAGGGAACGCTTAGGGCAATGGAACTACTCGGCATGGTACTGGGCAATGCACAAGACTTTTGTCAAATCATGCATTTGTCAAGACCCACAGAACTGGACACCATGTGGAGTGAACTTGACTGTATATAAATTAAAAAACAAAACCACGCAGGATGTCGGGATCCCAGGATAGAATGCAGACCGGGACAAACAAGTCCAACTGTCTTACAAATGTATGACTTACTGCACTGAAGGTGGGGGGAGGGGAGCAACTGACTTAAGTAATTCTGGAAAAGTGTTTGGACTAGATACTCCAAGATTAAAGACAGAAATGACTGTAAAACACAGGACTCTAATTGGTAAATATGTTTCTCACAAGGGTATGGGTTAGCAATTCTGAAACCTCTTTACAAGTATATTAGGGTTGAACAAATAATAAATAGTGGATAATGTAAGATCAGTATCTCCCTGTCAGAAAAAGAGCAACAGGCGAGGCAAGAATGAGCCCTGTGGGTGCTGGATTATAGACGGACACATCTGTGTGACTTCATGTTTCTTTAAATACACACACACACACACACACACACACACACACACACACACACACACAGATACAGAAATATATATATGTGTGTATGTAAGCCTGAGTTAGTATAGACGCATACACAGGTAGTCCTTGACTTATGACGGGGTTCCACTCCAACGACTCCGTCGTCAGTCAGTTATGACGCAGCTGAGTATCTTTTTCTTTTTAGTTTTCATTATTAATGCCTTTTATTATCATTATCTTTATAAATCATTGAACATCTGTGAGTGAATATATGAGAACGATAACATGGGCAAATTATGCACTGTAACATTGTATGTAGTACATATTACTAATGATAAGATGTACAAAAAAAAAAAAAAGACAGTCCTAAGTGTGGTTTGTCATAACTCGAATACGTCAGACGTCGGGAACTACTTGTATTTCCCAGTTCTGTCCACTGGGAGGGCCTAGAAGCAATAAACACCCTAGTAGTAATGAGCACACCGAGCACCCAGATCTTGGTTTCTAAAACCATTCCCCAATAAAAGGAGCCAGGTTTCTGGAGAAATGGCTGATTCTAGGATAGGAGCAGGAAAAAGCAAGATGAGTTTCAAGCATCTTGTAGTGCCAGAAAATAAGGAAATGCTTAAAAAAATAAAAGATGGGGTACGTCAAAGGACACAGGAGCCAACCTGAAAAAGCTCCCAGTGGCCAAAGTTGGAACAATTTGAGCAACAAAATAAATGACAGCGCTGGATTATAATCCAAAGAATAAATCCACGTCCTTGCCACATGCAAAACATATTTACCTCATCACATCATCCTAAAAGTCTTAAATCCACTCCAAGTCCAAAATCTCATCTTCTGAATCATCTAACTCAAATATGGGTGAGACTTTAGGTGTAATCCATCCTGAGGCAAAATTCTTCTTCATTTGTGAACCTGTAAAATCTAGACTACAAGTTATCTGTTTCCAAAGTACAATGGTGGAACAGGCAGAAGGTAAACATTTCCATTACAAATGAGAGAAACTGGAGCGAAAGAAGAGATAACTGGCACCAAGCAAGTAAAAAACCCAGCAGAACAATTTACATTAGCTCTCCAGGCTTGAAAATGATCCTCTGTTCTCTGAGACCATGTGGGCAATGGCCCTGCCCTCCAGACTCTAGGTGCTGGCCATGCTCTCTGGATCCTGGGTGGAGACTCCTTAGCCCTGGGCTCCACCTTCAGGCTCACTAAGTAGGCAACTCTGCTCCCTCAGCTTTGGGCAGCCTCATTCTCCTAGTCCATCTGAATGATGACCCCACTCCCTCGGCCCCAGTAGTCTCCGTTATTCTCCTTGTGCATGGCAGCCCTGCTCCCTCAGCTTTCGGCAACGGCCCCAACCCCCGGGCACTTGTAAACAGCAGCCCCACACTCTGGAACTAAGTTGATGACTATCTCTCTCTTTGAAACCTAGGAGGCCATGGCCTCACCCTTTGAAGCCCAGCAGGCCATGGTTCCAGCTGCTGAAACTGGGGCAGCCCTCCCTTGCTTCTTCCAACAGTTTTGCTGATCTCCAGTTTGCTCCAGGGATGGTCCTTTTCTTTTCTTGGAGGACAACAGATGTAGCCTCTTTGGCCTGTTTCCTGTCTGTAAAATTCCAAGAGGCAGACAATGTTCTTTATTTTCATTCTCTCTCTGTCGCCTTTAGTCTAAACCGATGGGTTTTCTGCTGTGGTAGGTGGTTAGATCCACCAGTCACAGGCTTAGTCTCTTTAACAAAAGATTGTGAGGACATGTTCTTGGTGAAAGTTCTAGAACATGTGTCCCTGGTTTGTACAGCAGAATTTCCTAAATCTTTAAGTTTTGTTTTCATTTTGCACAATTCATTTTTAAGTCCACTTCTTTCCTCTTGCATTTTACTGTAAGTAGCAAGGAGAAACCACACGGCCCCTTCAAGATCTTGCTTAGAAATCTCCTCAGCCAAATATTCAAGTTCATCACTTATAAGTTTTACCTTCCACCAAACATTTAAACATAATTCAGACAGATTCTTTGCCACTGCATAAAAAGCATCACCTTTTCTCCACTGTCCAATCACATGCCCATCATCTCCTTTTAAATCCTTACCAGAAGCAAATTTAATATCCACATTTCTAGCAACATTCCGTTGCTGGCGCCATATACACTCTCTAAGATGATAGAAACTTTCTCTATGGCTCTCCTCACTTCCTTCTAAGCCCTTGCCAGAATTGCCTTTGATGTCTATAATTCTACCACCAGTCTCTTCAAGGCAATCTAGGTTTTTACTATCAGGCACCTTAAAACTCTTCCAGCCTCTACCCATTACCCAATTCCAAAACCACTTCCACATTTTAGGTATCTGTTAGAGCAGCACCTTACTCCCGGTACCAAGTTCTGTCTTAGTTATCTAGTGCTGCTGTAACAGAATACCACAAGTGGGTGGCTTTAAGAAACAGAAATTTATTTTCTCACAGTTTAGGAAGCTAGAAGTCCAAATTCAGGCTGCCAGCTTTAGGGGAAGGCTTTCTCTCTCCGCTGGCTCTGGAGGAAAGGTCCTTGTCTCTTCAGAGCTTCAGCTCCTGGGCAATCTTCCTGTAGCTTGGTGTCTCTCCTCCCCCATCTCTACTCGCTTAATCTGCTCCTTTTATATCTTGTAAGAGATTCATTCAAGAGACAACCCTACACTAATCCTGTCTCATTAGCATAACAAAGACAATCCATTCCCAAATGGGCTACTAACAACAGGCACAGAGGTTAGGATTTACAACACATATTTTTGGGGAACACAATTCAACTCGTAACACTTGGAAACAACTTTTAAACCTTGAACCGAAACTATCCCACAGAGTCATCTTTCAACAGTAGTTTAGCTCAATAAATAAAGTATATCGGCCATAAGCAGTGTGCCCTTTTAAAGAATTAAATATATGAGAGCAAAATGACAACAGTAAGTCTAAAGCACAGATGAGAACTTTAAGGGGAAGAGAGTCTAAGTTAATGGTGAAACAATATAGGCAGAAAAAGACTGGTGACACAGTATGAAGAATGTAACCATAGTCAAAGAAGTGTACATGTACAAACTGTTGATTGAGTGTATGTTTTGTTGTGCATATTTTCATCAAAAAACAAAACAAACAAACAACAAAAATTACCCCAGCCTAATCCTGAGAAAGGGTGATACAAATAGTTAATGCACTTGGCTGCTAACCAAAAGGTTGGCAGTCCAATTCCACCCAGAGGCATCTCAGAAGAAAGGCCTAGAGATCTACTTCTGAAAAATCAGTCATTGAAAACCCTAGGCAGCACAGTTCTACTCTGACACACATTGGTTCACCATGAGTTGGCATCAACTTGATGACAACTGTTTTTCTAACCCTGAGAAAACATCAGACCAACCCAAATTGAAGGATATTCTATAAAATACTCAACCACTGCTCTTCAGAAGTGTCAGTTCATGAAAAATGAGGAAAAGAATGAAAAACAATGACAGACCAGAGGAGACTAAGGAGACATGATGACTAAGTGGCCCCAGAGCAGAAAAAGGACGTAAGTGGAAAACCTGATGAGATTCAAATAAAGCCCGCCGTTGCATTAACAGTTTTGACAATGTACCATTTAATGTGAAATCCCCATGCCTTGGAAAACGGCATTGTGGAGATGTCCACTCTCCCCAGGCTGACCTGGAGCAACTCAATCCCAACCAAAATCTCAACTCAATTTCTGGAGAACCTGCCTGGCTGATATCAAAATACACATGGAAATTCAGAGGACTAA